CTTTTTTTTCCAAACTTACCCGATATTATTAAGCTTCTAAATTTAGATGTAAAAATACAACAATGTTCTTTGAAATTTTTCTGGACAAGGCAAACTGGCGTTCAGTATCTACAAATTATAAATCTTTTGTATCGAGTAAATAATTTACGGTAATTGACAGTTCGAGATGTCAATTTAAAAATGTTTTATCATTTTCATCATATAATAAGCAATGCTTCAATTTATTATTGCACGTACTTTTAATATGTAAAAACATTTGTAATTATATGTGATCAATGCGACATAAATTTTGCAAACAGAAAGTTAATATTCTGTCTATAAAGTTTTCAAGTATGGCATATCTTTAATATTCAATGAATACTTCTACAAAATAGTATGTGCAAAAATAGATTTAATCTAGAGCAGGATAACGGTTACTTACATACATAATTTTTTTATTATTCATGCATATCTGCTTGATTATATAATAAAAGTTAAAAAATATATCGAGCAAAGTAAACTGGATTGAGAATAAAATCCGGGCCTTGTCACCAACTAAGTGTCTACCAAATTCAAGTCTTCTTTACATAAAGTTCTGTCTATAAAGTTTTCAAGTATGGCATATCTTTAATATTCAATGAATACTTCTACAAAATAGTATGTGCAAAAATAGATTTAATCTAGAGCAGGATAACGGTTACTTACATACATAATTTTTTTATTATTCATGCATATCTGCTTGATTATATAATAAAAGTTAAAAAATATATCGAGCAAAGTAAACTGGATTGAGAATAAAATCCGGGCCTTGTCACCAACTAAGTGTCTACCAAATTCAAGTCTTCTTTACATCTTACTTTTCTTTTTTCCTACATAGCCCAACGTTTTACAAAAGTAATAATACTTTATTATTGATAAAAATGTATACTTTTAAATGTATATATTCGAAATAGAATTAATTCGCTGAATCAATTTGCAAAATGCTATAAAAAAAATGAGAAAATATATTTGGAATAGTAAACTGTGCTGGGGGAATTGAAGCCAAAACTTTTCACTTGCCGAGCTACCGTTCTACCAGCTGGGTCAACCAAAAGCCCCTGTTTTAGTACATTTTCTTCCCTCTCTTCTTAAGGAGGTGCCATACGTGAAAACTTCGGCGACAAAGTACTTATGTCTTTCTGCGACGTGTACCTCCTATTAGTTGAAAAATACAAATGTTTTTATACAATGAAAATACGTTTCTAATATTTTCGAAATTGTAGGAAAAGATATTTTATACAAAAGTTTTAAAGATACTTTACAGTGTAAAAATGTAGTCTTTCCAGACGATTTCAGAAACATGGAAGTTTTAAAAATACATATACCCATTTTTAATATTGGTTTTAAAAATGTTTGATATTAATATCAACAAGTTGAGCCAATACTAATCAAAACGCAAAACGAAGAAAACTGATGAATTGTAGACTCTATTGTTATGATTATCCATGACAATGATTAAATAAACCACTACCGGAGATATTGCCGTGTACTTGAATGAAGGAATATATAAACATGTTTTATAATTTTTATATATTTAATATGCATTTAATATTAATATTTAATATTAATATTTTTTAATATTTTATATATTTAATATGTATTTTATATTACAGATATGTATTTAATATTACATATTTAACATGTATTTTATATTATAGATTGTTATCTTATTCTAATATACGTATTTACTGATATTAGTCCAATGTTTTTTCTTTCTCGTTAAAATCGGAACAAAATTTTATTTAAGAAATAAGAGAAAGTGATTTAATAATAGCAAGGTAAATTTTCGAGATTTTTTTGTGTTAATACCTTCGACATATCGTGAACGAAGTATTAAACCAGTATAAATTGTGTATCAATATTTTCTATCGTGACTGAATAAAGTTCAGCGACGTTGACCAATAATTTAAGACTAACAGAAGAGCTGCGGATGTTCTCGCGGAGATTTAGTAATTGCTAATTCAGACATAAATTTTATATATGATTTTCTACAATACTAAACACTTACAATACAAACTTACAATACTAAACGCTTACAATACTAAACACTTGAAACCAGTAAAAATACAAAATATTATATTACTGCATGTTTGTATTTTGATTATTACAAAACATTTTGATTGAGTATTTTGATTACTATAAAAGAAAATATACGATTAACAGAATCGTAGCGGCTATTAATACATAGAAAAATATTACTTGTATTATGTTTGTACAATTAATCACAACAGTTATTTATTTGAGAAGTAACTTTGAAATTCTGAAATAAGGAGTATCTAAACCCGGCCATTTTTAAATCGCTTAAAAAATGTGATATCAAAAAATTAAGGAAATAAAGAATGCTTTAAAGCAGAAATCCAATAAAAGCTTTTTTTACCATGAAACAAAAAGAAAAATATATTTATGTAATGACTTTTCATAGAGCAATAATTATTAAAATTTCAAATATTTTTGCTTATAATTTTTTCATATTTCTCTTGAGGAAAATGTATTAATATTTAGAATGTATTTTATTTCGCAATGTCACTTATACCATTTACATGACTCTTCAACCGTTCATCATAACATTTACATATGAACAATCAATAAAAATTTCTTTACAATTTCTGCGCGCTGTTAACGTCGTTAACTCTGACGGTGGGATGGGGTTTTTCCCTTGCTATCGCTTTCAGCCAGAATCCTCCCTTAGGTTTCATAACAAAGCTATCCTTGGCCAACTCGAGCGGTATTGACGTCTTTTCGCAAGGTAGCAGGTCGCAACGTGCCAGCAGATGGAAGAGTAACACCTTCGTTTCTAGCAGGGCGAATCGGTTACCTATGCACATCCTAGGGCCCAAACCGAATGGTAGATAAGCTCCCGAGTTGAAAATATGTTTCTTCTGCTCTCCGAGAAACCGTTCAGGTTTGAATTTTTCTGGCTCCTCGAAGTAGTTTGGATCATGTTGGAGTCCGTAAGTCGGTATCCAAATGACTTGATCTTTCTTCACGGTGAAGGGCTCCATGCCTGGTAACGTCGGCGGCAACTCAAAATCCTTCTTGCATACTCTATCCATCAATACGGCGATCGGGTACATCCTGAGGGCCTCGTTCACCACAGCGTCCATGTATTCCATGTTATTGACCATGTCATACGGCGACTCACCATTCGTATCCTCCAGGACCTTGTCGATTTCGTCCTGCAGCTTGTTTTGAATGTCACGGTTAACTGCGATTTCATGCGCGGCAAAACACATTAATGTCGAGGTACTGTCGAAGCCACCGAAGAAGAAGCTGAAGGCCTGGCTAGTCATGTCGGTGATAGTTAGATCTTTTCTACCTTCCTTCTTTCCTCTACTTTCCATCATCAGTTGCAACATGTCCGGCCGCACGATACCTTGCTCGTCCCTGGTCTTAATAGTGGTTTCCACAAGCTCTCGGAAGAAATTCGCGATCTTCGGGCGAATGAACTTCATTTGGAATATCTTCGCCAGCCACGGTAGGCTTCTGAATATATATAATTTCATGACCATGATAGTGTCAAAAGTAGTGGCTTCTCTGCCGTACACATAGAAAAGGTTTTTCGGGTTACGCATGGAATCGACGCTGACGCCGAAGGCGCAGGTGGCGATTACGTCGTTGGTGTACCTCGTGAAGATGTCCTTCATCTCCATTACCTTTTCCTCCGGCGGCAATTCCGCCACGAATTTACCGAAATCAGTGGCGCAATCCGACATCAACTTGAACATACCTTTCATCTTGCTGGACGTGAAGGATGGACTCAGTACAGCTCTCACCTCTCGCCATCTGTCATCTCGCAGAGAGAACAGGTTGTTGGAGAACAGTGGATCTTGATGTTCCTCGACGAAAGTGCGGTGATTCGGAAACATTTCGAAATTTTTCAGTGCAATGGATTTGATGAGCTCAGTGTCACGCAGCACCACCACCGGCTTAGTTAAGTCGTACATGCCGGTATACTTGGCCTCGGGATACGCGTCGTACACTTCCTTAATGAGCGTAGCCACAGATTTCGTGCGCGCAAACACCGCTCCCATGTTACCTACCAAAGGCAGTGGCCTGATATGCGGAATGTTATGTTTTTTGAACAAGTTCAGGTCCTTGAAGAGGAAGTAATAAAGGCCCAAAGCGCCGGCTATCACCGACAAGACGATGACGTACACCATGTTTATCAAATTTTCACACTAATTTAGATACAGCACTTTTGTCAGCGTAAAACTGTCTGTATGAGCGGAACTGTAAGATCGTAGACGTTTATGCAACGAACTTATTTAATCGAGAGTTCTGGTTTTGCCTGCTGATTATGCGCGAAAAAAGAATAAAACGAAGGAGCATAGCAGCGGCACGCCATTCGCACTCAACGATCGAATGGCTACTACGCTGCGCAACCTTCGTCGTATATACGTATCGTGACTCACGGCTTACGCAATGAAGAGCTATACTGGAACATCTGGGATTTGCTACAGTGTAACATCTGCTATAGTGCAAAAATAAATTGCACAATTTAATGAAAAGCACAATTGTAATCATCAAATAATCTTCGCATTATCATTATCTTGTTTTGCTGGATAGCATGTGTGTGGTTGAGTGAATCTTAAAAACACGGGGCAACTAAAAAATTTTTGTCCTACCTAACTTTATTCTAATTAGAGTAGGTAATTCGTATAGATTTGTGGTTTCACATAGAAAACAATATCGCTGGTCAAATGATTCCATTACGTTAGGTTTAGACTTGATTAAAATTTTAAGATAAGAAATCGGCGATTTAAAAGGAAAGGACAAATATTAATTCGCTTATCGTTAATATAATAATAAAAGACTTGAGTTTTTTATATACTCATTGATTCCTTACTAACAAAAAAGAGAAAATTGTTTATCAAATAGCAAGAAAGTTTGTTTGTTTAGTGTGTATAAAAGTATATATACACTTTTCTTCATGTTTGGTGAAATTAGTGAGAACGAATAGTCGGATTATAATATTATGAGTATCATTTTTTTCGTAATAAAAATTACGAAATGTATAATTAAATGTATGAAATATATAATTATTATTGAAATGTATAAAACAGATACAGTCTTAACATGATAAAACAAATTTATTAAAATAAAAGTTTTATTAAATTGTAATATAAAATCTGGCGAAAACGATGTATAAATAATTTAAATGTGACTTATTAAAAAAATGAAGAGCAATTACTTCTCTCATACTAAAATTTAACAACTTACAAAATTTACTGAAATTTAACTTACTTCTTACTTGTCCTTCATCAGTTAGAATGCATCCTCATAAATCGTTACCCAGATAAACGCGGCCGAAAACTCGTTCGTCGAATACTTAATACTTCCGGTTCGAATAGAAACAGAGAGTTCTATTCTCGTTTAGTTTTCTTCAGTCCTCTTTATTGGAATTTATTATTGATTCCAGTATTCTCTTGGATGTGCCGAACTGGATGACGAATTCGAAATGTATAAATAACGTAAAAGTTATCGTCACTATTAAATAAAACTATTATTTTTATAAAACTATTATATTATATTTTTCGCATTTCTTATATATATAGATCTCATATATATATATATATATATATATATATATATAGATCTCATGTTAATATGTATTGCTCTATTTCATCATATTTAACGGAAAACTTAATTGCACGCGCACTTACATATATAGAAATTTTTCTGCGAATTTTTCCGATATTATTAAACTTCTAAGTTCAAACATGAAGATACAACAAGGTTCTTTGACATTTTTCTGGACGAAGCAAACTCGCGCTCAGTATATACAAATTACAAATATTTTATACCAAGCAAATAATTTACGGCAATTGACAGTTCGAGATATCTATTTAAAAATGTTTTATCGTTTTCATTGTATAATGAGCAATATCTTAAATTATGATTGCACGTACTTTTAAAATGTAAAAATATTAAAGTGTAAAAAAATATTTGTTATTATTTGTAACTTGTATTACTGTAACTGTAATTATGTAACCAGTGTGACATCAACTTTGCAAACAAAAATTGCGATTGCATTATGGCCACTGATAACGAAGGATAGATAAACTGATAACGGAAATATTGCTGTGTACTTGAATGAAGACATACATAGAGACGTTTTATAATTTTTATATATTTTAATATGTATTCTATAAAATTATATAGGTTGTTCTCTAATACTATTATAAAATCCACATTTACAAATAATAGTCCAATGTTTTTTCTGTTTCATTAAAATCGGAATATTTCAGTCAAAAAATTAAACAAAAAATAATTTAACGTAACAAACAAGTAAATTTTTGAATTTTTTTTTTTGTATCTTGTATAATATTCTCGACATATCGTGTACGAAGTATTGAACGAGTATAAATTTTGTATTAATATTCTTGATCGTGAGAGAATAAAATTAAGCAACATTGACCCATAATTAAGGGTGGACACGAAAACTGTGGTGACTACTCGCGTAGACCTCGTAATTGCTAATCAAGATACAAATTTTATATATGGCTCTCTGACTTTGCGCTGCTAGACTAGTGAAACCGGCCACGTTGCTACATGTTTGTATTTTGGTTATTAAAAAATAAAATATAGTTAACAAAATTGTGTATTAACATATAGAAAAAAGTTACCTCTGTCATGTTTGCACAATCAACCGCAACAATTACTTATCTGAGAACTTGCAATCTCGAAATTTTATAACATGGGATATTTAGTTTTGATTTCAATTACACTGTTGAAAACAAAGGTGACATAAAATAATTAAGGAAATAAAGAATATCATGAGACAGAAATCCAACAACAGCTCCTTAAAGAGTAGCCATTTTATTATAAAATTAAAAAGGAAAAGATATTCATAATTTTTCATGGAGTAATAATCATTAAAATTTCAAATATTATTCCTTATCATTTTTCGATGCTATATTTCTCTTGAGGAAAGTATATTAATATTTGGGATGAATTTTATTTCGCAATAATTTCGTGCCACCCATATTATTTACATATCTGACCAGTCAACAAAAATTCCTCTATAGGATCTACGCGCCGTTAATATTGTTAACTGTGATAGTGTGATGAGGTTTTTCCCTCGGTATCACCTTCAGCCAAAAACCTCCCTTAGCTTTCGTAACAAAACCAGCTATGGCTAACTCGAGCGGTATCCCCGTCTTCTCGCAAGGCAGCAGGTCGCAACGTGCCAGCAGGTGAAAGAGTAACACTTTGGTTTCTAGCAGAGCGAATCGGTTACCTATGCACATCCTGGGGCCTAAGCCGAATGGCAAATAAGCTCCGGTGTTGTGAATATGTTTTTTCTGTTCGCCAAGAAACCTTTCGGGATTGAATTTTTCGGGTTCCTCGAAGTACTTTGGATCATGGTGGAGTCCGTAAACGGGTACCCAAATAACTTGACCTTTCTTCACGGTGTAGGGCTTCACGCCTGGTAACGTTGGCGGCAACTCAAAGTCCTTTTTGCATGCTCTATCCATTATTACGGCGATCGGGTACATCCTGAGGGTCTCATTCACAACAGCGTCCATGTATTCCATGTTGTTGACTATATCATACGGCGACTCACCATTCGTATCCTCCAAGACCTGGTCGATCTCGTTCTGTAGTCTCTTTTGAATATCCTTGTTAACCGCGATTTCATGCGCGGCAAAGCACATTAACGTCGAGGTCCCATCAAAGCCGCCGAGGAAGAAAATAAAAGCTTGGTTAGTCATTTCGTTGATAGTTAGATCTTTTCTACCTTCTTTCTTTCCTCTGCTTTCCATCATCAACTGCAACATGTCTGGCCGAACGATACCTTGTTCTTCCCTGGTCTTGATGGTGGTTTCCACGAGTTTCCGGAAGAATTCCGCGATCTCTGCGCGAATCATTCTCAATTTGAATACTTTCGCCAGCCACGGCAGGTTCCTGAATATGTGAAACTTCATGAAAGTGACGAATCTGTCGAAATTAGTAGCCTCTTTGCCGTACACGTAGAAGAGATTCTTCGGGTCACGCGTAGAATTAACGCTAACGCCGAAGGCGCAGGTGGCAATCACATCGTTGGTGTATTTTGTGAAAATATCCTTCATATCCATCATCCTCTGCTCCGGCGGGAATTCCGCCACAAATTTGCCGAAGTTGGCGGCGCAGTCCGACATCAACTTGAACATACCTTTCATCTTGCTGGATGTGAAAGCCGGGCTCAACACATTTCGTACCTCTCGCCACCTATCATCTTGCAGGAAGAACAGATTATTGGAAAACAATGGATCTTGATCCTCCGTGATGAATCTGACATGATTCGGAAATATTTCGAAGTTCTTCAGCACAATGGATTTAATGAGTTCAGGGTCACGTAGTACAACTATCGACCTGGTAAATTCGTACATGCCAATGTACTTGGCCTTGGGATGCACGTTGTATATATCCTTTACGATCGCAGCCATAGATTGCTTGTGAAAAATCAGCGGTCCCATGTTGCCTACCAAAGGCAGTGGCCTAATATGCGGGATGTTATGTTTCTTGAAGAAGTTCCGGTCCTTGAAGAGGAAGTAATAGAGGCCCAAGGTGCCGGCTATCAGCGACAAGATGATCACGTACACCATGTTGATCAAATTTTCTAGATACGTAAAATTGTCGTTACGAACGGAATGGTAGAGCCGAGGATGTTTCTTTGATAAACTTACGTAATCAAGTGTTTTGATTTTATCTACTGATTATACGCGAAAAGTGAATAAAGTGAAGGAGTGAGGCAACGGTGCGCCGTTGACACTCAACAAGCGACTGCTAGTATTCTGCACAATCTGCGTCTTATATACGTCATTATATAATAACGTCACAACTTACGCAATTGAGAGCTACCCTCGGACATGTGAGATACTATTAGTGGGGGAATCACTTACGCATTTTAATGAAAAACACAATTGCAATCGTTAATGCAGACTTTGTCTTATCATTATCTTGTTTGCTTGAGAGCATGCATGTGATGGAGTGAATCCCCAAAACACAGGTCGAACAAGAAATGTTTGCCTAACCTAACTTCACTTTAATTAGAGTAAATATTTCGAATAAATTTTTTGCTCACAAAAAACAGTGTCGCTGGCTAAATGGCTCCATTACGTCATGTTTTAGAGTTGATTAACTTTATAAGATAAAAAATCGTCGATTTCAAGAAAGATGACAAGTAATAATTTGTTTGTCTTCAATAAAATAATAAAAAATGATGAATGTTTGATTTATACGCATTGATTCCTTATTAACAAACGAAGAGAAACTGTCTCACAAATTGCAAAAAAGTTTATTTGTTAAAGATACAGTATAGGAAAGTATATATAGATACTTTTTTTCATGTTTGTTAAAATCAGTAAAAACAAATAGTCAAATTATAATATTGTTATGCCCGTGTGCCCACATTATTGGTTGTATCGATTTCGATGATCCCGATATAGGGAGATAAGCGAAGTGGCACGGTTAACAACCAGCAGTAACAACAGCTGACGGGAAATAAACAACAGCTGATTGAGTTGACAGCGAGTCATAGACACGAGCGGACGTGTTTCAACTGTGTTGATACTGAGCCTGTGAAGACGTGTTTCGCTGTACATAGTAAAGCTTCTCATTCTTTTATAATTGTGTTTTCATTTTCTCCGTGCGCGATCGCGAATGCAAGCGTGAATGCAACAATATTATTATAATTATAATGATACTGATTATAATAATAGTGTTGTTATCAAAATAGAGTCACAAAGAAGCATAGTTATATATAATAATTAGAATCACTGAATTATATCCTGAGTAAAAAGATATTTTTAATCAATGGATATTAATAACATATTTATTTAAACTATATGTTTAATAAATAATATTTTTTAAAATAAAAGATACACATTTTCTTTAAATTTTAACAGCAACGATTTATTTTACATAAATAAGAGAATTTAGCCTTAATTAAAAATATTACTATCGTCGTATATTCATTAAATCTTTATTAATATTAGGTATTTATTATTATTTTAATATTTAATATAATAATATAAACATTTAAAAAATATTATATATATATATAAATTTTTCTACATATTATATATATTATTACATATTATAAGTCTTTTCACATATAGGAATATATATCACATATAGGAATATATATGCAAACATATGAAAATGTTCGTCCCGTATGAAATTATAGTAACACGCGTAAAAATTGGAATAATATTTCAGTTAAAAAGGAGAAAAAGCTGATACAATAGTGACAAAATTACTTTTCAATTCTTTTGAAATTTTGTATTAATATTTTTCATCGTAAGTGAATACAGTTAAACAACATTAATCCATAATTAAAAACAAAAGCGGAAGAGTTATAGAAACGGAAATCCAGTAACTATTAAATTAATGAGGATACAAATTTTATATGTGGCTTTCCGTATATATGAGCTTACGCTACAGTACTGAAACCGGTATCAGGACCACATAGCCACGTTGCTGCGTGTTGAATTTTAGTTATTACAAAACAAAATATACGATTAATACGATTATGACGGGTATTAATACTTAAAAAAATATTATTTCTATCATGTTTGTACAGTCAGTCACAAAAATTATTTATTTGAGAAATTGTACCTTCGAAATTTTGAAATATGTAGTATATGTAGACTCATACGTTGAAAAAAATGACCTAAAATATTAAAGAAATACAGAATGCCATAAAAAGAAATCCAATATCTGCTTAAGGTAGACACTCTACCTTCGAACAAAACAAAAGAACACGTTTGTACAATATTTTTCACGGAGTAATGATCATTAAAATTTTAGATATTTTTGCCTAACCTATAATTTTTTGATATCATACTTCTCTTGAGATATTAATATTTAAAGTGAATTTTATTTTGCAATTAACAATGTTATTTATATCATTTATATGTGAATCTTCAACTGTCACCCATACGATTTACATATGAATCTAACCAATCAACAAAAATTCTCTTACAGCTTATGCGCGCCGTTAACATTGTTAATTGCGACCGTGCGATGGGGTTTTTCCCTCGGCATCACTTTCAGCCAGAAACCTCCCTTAGCCTTCATATTGAAGCCGTCATTGGCCAACTCGAGCGGTATCCGCGTCTTCTTGCAAGGTAGTAGGTCGCAACGTGCCAGCAGATGGAAAAGTAACACTTTCGTTTCCAGTAGGGCGAATCGGTTACCTATGCACAACCTGGGGCCCAAGCCGAATGGCAGATAAACTCCCATGTTGTGAATATGTTTTTTCTGTTCGCCAAGAAACCTTTCGGGATTGAATTTTTCGGGCTGCTCGAAGTACTTTGGATCATGATGGAGTCCGTAAACCGGTATCCAAATGACGTGACCTTTTTTTACGGTGTAGGGCTTCATGCCTGGTAACGTCGGCGGCAACTCAAAATCTCTTTTGCATACTCTGTCAAACGCTACGGCGACCGGGTACATTCTGAGAGTCTCGTTCACCACAGCGTCCATGTATTCCATGTTGTTGACCATGTCATAAGGCGATTCGCCATTTGTGTCCTCCAGGACCTGGTCGATCTCGTTCTGCAGTCTCTTTTGAATGTCCTCGTTAATCGCGATTTCATGCGCGGCAAAACACATCAACGCTGAGGTACTCTCAAAACCGCCAAAGAAGAAGCTGAATGCCTGGCTAGTCATCTCCATGATAGTTAGATCCTTGCTACCTTCTCTCTTCGCTTTACTTTCCATCATCAGCTGCAACATGTCTGGCCGAACGATACCCTGTTCTTCCCTGGTCTTGATAGTGGTTTCCACGAGCTCCCGAAAGAATTCCGCAATCTCCGTACGAATTAACCTCAGTTTGAATATTTTTGCCAGCCATGGCAGGCTCCTGAATATATAAAACTTCACGAATGTGACGCCTCCAAAAGTAGTCGCCTCTCTGCCGTACATGTAGAAGAGATTTTTCGGGTTCCGCATGGAATCAACGTTGACGCCGAAAGCGCAGGTGGCGATCACGTCATTAGTGTACCTCGTGAAGATGTCCTTTATGTCCATCACCTTCTGCTCCGGCGGCAATTCCGCCACGAATTTACCGAAGTCGATGGCGCAGTCCGACATCAATTTAAACATGCCCTTCATCTTGCTGGACGTGAATGACGGACTCAACATAGTCCTCATTGCTCGCCACTTGTCATCTACCAAAGAGAACAGGTTGCTGGAAAACAATGGATCTTGCTCATCGTTGAGGAAGCTACGATGATTCGGAAACATTTCGAAGTTCTTCACTGCAATGGATTTGATGAGCTCAGGGTCATGCAGTATCACCACCGGCATGGTTAAGTCGTACATTCCAGTGTACTTGGCCTCAGGATGCACGTCGTACTGGTCCTTCAGGAATGCGGCCACAGATTTCGTGCGTAGAAACAGCGCACCCATGTTGCCTACTAAAGGCAGTGGCCTGATATGCGGGATGTTGTGTTTCTTGAACAAGTTCATGTCCTTGAGGAAGAAATAATAAAGACTCAAGGCGCCAGCTATTACCGACAAGATCATCATGTACACCATGTTGTTGAAATTTTTACACTAATTTAGATATATAATATTTTTATCAGCGCGTAAATCTATTAATATGAATGGAATCGTAAAGCCATAGATGTTTACGCAACTAACTAACGTATTGAATCAAGTCTAACTATGCTCAAGGAGGAAATAAAGCAATAAGGCGGAGCAACGGCGCGCCGTTGACACTCAACGACCGACTGCTGCTACTCTGCGCAATCTACGTCGTATATGCGTGTTATGACTAATTGCTTACGCAATGGAATGCTGCTCTTAGATATCTGGGACGCTGTTGGTGCGTAAATCAGTTGCATAAGTTAATCAAAAACACAATTGTAATTGTCAATGCAGACTTCGTATTATTATTATCATTATCTTGTTTGCTTAATAGTATTCATCTGGTTCAATGAATTTTAACACAGGCCGAAATGTTTTTGTGATGTCATTCTAATCAGAGTAAGTACTTCGTATACATTTTTACTAACAAAAAACAATGTTGCTGACTAAATAGTTCCGTCGCGACAAGTTTAGAAATTAATTTAAATTTTAATTGTAATGCGAAATCAGTGATTTAAAGAAAAAAGACAAATATTAAATTGTTTATTATAAATAAAGTAATAAAACGGAGTGAGTATTTGATATACACATTGATTTCTTATTAGTAGAGAAAAAAGAAATTGTCTCACAAATAGCAAGAAAGTTTGTTTGTTAAGGATATAGTGCATATGAAATATAGTTCATACATACTTTTTTTATATTTCATGTGAAATCAGTGAGAACAAATAGTTGAATTAAAATGGTATGGTTTCCATTTAGTTCGTGATAAAATCCTATTAAAATATTACCTAAAAATTGTATAAAATGGTATAGTCTGAAAAATTGTGTAAAATGATATAAACTTGGCTGAGAAAACTAATTTGTAAAAATAAGAGCCTTTTTATTAAATGTAGTATAAAACCCAGTATAAATAAGGTGTAAATATCGAAATTTAAACGTGACACATCATAAAAAAAGCTTGAAAAATTTTTCCTTTTCATACTAAAATTTAGCAACATACTTGTACTTTTTGTCCCTCATCAGTTATAATCAGTTATATCAGTTATTTACTTACGGATACATTATTGGGAACAAGGACGCGAACGAAAACTCATCCATCGAATACTTCCAGTGTTTTCAAACAAAAATAGAACTCAACTCTCATTTAGTTTCTTCACATATCGCTCCTCTTTATTGGAGTTCGTCATCGATTCCAATATCCCCTCAAGAGTATATCGAAGTGGATGACGAACTCGAAAAATGTCGATAACGTAAAGGCAACTAAAATGTCACTAAAACGATCTCACTATCCTTTACGTATTTCATATACATGTTGTTCTTATAGAAATATGTACTGCTTTGTTTCATCATATTTTACAGGAAACCTATTTGCACACATATATATCCACACATACACACACATATAGAAATTTTTCTGCGAATTTTCCCGATATTAAACTTCTAAATTCACACATAAAGATACAGCAATGTTCTTTAAATTCCGAACAAAGCAAACTTGCATTAAATTACATTATACAAATTACAGATTTTTTATATCAAGTAAATAATTTATTGCAATTAACAGCTCGAGACGTCCATTTAAAAATGTTTTATGGTTTTCATTATATAATGAGCAATACTTTAAATTATTATTGCACGTATTTTTAATATATGAAAATATCTGTAATTATATAACCTGTATGACATCAATTTTGCAAACAAGAAGTCAGTATTCTGTCTATAAAATTTTCAAGTATGTCATTCTCTTAAAATTTGATGAGGACTTCTACAATATCATATATACAGAAATAGATTTACTTTAGGGCAGGATGACGGTTGCTTGCAGACGTGATTTCTTTGCTACACATGCACGGCTGCTTAATTATATAATAAAAGACAAAAAATATATTGAGTAAAATAAATTGGATCGAGAATAAAATCCGAGCAACTATTCTAACTGTACCATCTACTAAATCCATAATATTTTGATTCATTTTCCTCCTCCTTTCTTTCCTTCTATATATTTTTTTCTCATTTCTCATATATATATATATATATATATATATATATATATATATATATATATATATATATATA